AATACATAATTCAGGGATATTATATATTTTATGCCAAGACTGTGTCATTATTAATTTCTAAGCAACACTGAAGTGTTAAAATTAAATATTTTTATTTCCTGGTCCCGGTGAGAGTTTTTTAAATTTTCCACAATTCTATAAAATTTGGAAACGAAATTTTATATTTTAGTTGCCACTTCAATTATAAGACTTTTCCACTAATCTACTATCCGGTACCTATTTAGGGGGGGGGGTTGATAGGGTGTATTACATCGAAAAAAAATGACTTTACGGGAATAACTTTCAAGCTTTGTGGAATTATCGGAGTTTGATGACTATTTTTTTTATCTGAAAGAAGAAGACTTCCTACAGCCTACATCGAACTCTGATTTTCTATTTTATTTCGAATAATTGTATTAAACAATTTGTGAAAAATGCTTTTTATCTTGTATTTTTTTAGACTTATCATAAAGTTTGAGAATAAAATATTGAAAAATAGAGATCGATGAGGGCTGTAAAATATTTCCCTCTAGCAATAAAAAAAAAAATTATGAAATTTGGTGAATTTTACAAGGCGGTGTCGTTATTCCCGCAAAGTGTATTTTTGAGGACAAAATGGCATCGGCACCGAAAGCCATAAGTATAATTAATTCAAAGAACAAGGCATAACATCTTCAAAACTTTATTCAAATACAAAACTATTTTAAAATATCTTCTTATTTATTGTTTAATACTTTTGTAAACAACGGTTTATTTAGCATTTCAATATTATATGAAGTTGTATCAAACTACATTCACAAATTTGATTGAATTATAGTTTAAAAACAGGTGTAATAATTACAAAAATGTAAAAAATCAACTATCTTATAATTAGTACTGAATACTTCCCATTTTATCGTAGTAATCAGCTAACATAAGCAAAACCAATATTATGTATGTTTAAAAACTTAAATCAGTGGTATGATAAATACAAATTAAAATCTATTGTATTAAGTTAATTTATATAGTGATTTCAAAAACGTAACACATAATATGTTATAGTGTACATATGTGTTAGTAAAAATAAAAAGTTGTAAATAAATAAATAATGAAATAGTTGAAAAATCGAATTGCGACATAAAATATATTTGCAATTTAAACAAAGCATACGATTTTCAAGAGTTCTAATGTACCTATAGATATTTGTAATTTGTATCCGTCGGTTTATTTCTTTAACACTCTTAACATAGAAATTATGATACAACTATACAAGATGGCGATATGCAACATATAATTAAAATCGTGTAATCAAATTCTTATCATAGATGTCTAAGAAATTCAATCAACGTTTACAGAGTCCAATATTCCCATGGTATTGTTACCAATGTTGCTTTAGTAAATATTTACATGCCTACAATGTGCAAACATCGTATAATGCACTCTATATTATAGTGGGTAGTTGAGAGTCTATAATACAATAAAACTGACTATTGTAAACTTAAATTCTAAAATATTAAAACAAGTTGACCTGGAAAAAGATGGATTCAATGGTAGGTATGTAACTTGTTATATCAATTTAACACGAAAGGTGCATTACGGATAGGTATGTATTTTATATTTTAACAAATATGATTATTGATTAGTAGTATTGCTTCCGTAGTACCTATATACTATTAATTATTTATAAAGTACAACAGGATACTGTTTGCAATAGGTCATTTCCGAATTAATTTTAGATATTGGAATAGACATTTTTTTTTTAAATAACTGTAGTTAAGGAGTTACACATCAATTAAATAATATGTAATCTAAATTAAACTACATAATACTATATTATATAAACAAACGAATATAATATTATTTGAATTTAAAATATTATAATATTATAACGATAAACGAATACATCTACGTAAAAATGCATTAGTTTACTTAATTTGCATTTTCGGCACTAAATAAAATGGTTATCCTAGGCTTTAATCATGATTTCTTACTTATTACACATTTTAATCGAAATAATATGGCAGAATATACAATAATTTTTTGGCATATAAAGAAATTAAAATTATTTCAAAAAAACAACACTTTAGCGATTTGTTTAAATACACAATTAAATTAAGTAAACGATTTTTAGGTTATACTGTTCAGAAAAAGAAAATATCATTATGAATCACTGGCATAATATAATAACTCCAAAGAAACTTTAAATCTCCATACGTGGATTCTAAAACAAATAATAATAATATAATCGTTAGCTGATTAATAAATATTATCTATACGAGAATGATAATCTTTATTTTAAGAGGACCTTACAACGACCTATTTTGTTGTCTCCGTGTTACAAGTGAGTAAAATTCCGAATTTCAGCAAATCAAGTTTAGCTCCATTAGTTTAAAAAATTGAGTGAATTGATCTCTTATAAAATTTAAAGGTAAGATTATTATAGGCTGCTTATTATATTTTAATTTTAAAGCGATATATGACTTTATGAGTATTTTAAGATGTACAAACAATTTACAAATAAAGTAGGTATGACAACAAGCCTATAGCATTGCCTAGATAATAATCTTATTTTTAAATGTTTAAACTTTAAAGTAACGGAGCTAAACGTAATCTCCTGAGCGTAAAATTTGCTATGTTACGCACTTGTAAGACGGAGACACCAAATTTCGGTATAAAACGTCCTCTTAACCCTATTTTTTTAAATATATAATATGTATACACACATAAATTATCATGAATAAAAATTAAATAACTATTTTACTTACTTATTGGTATTATTTTTATATAATTTTATGAACAACTTATCGGTATTCTTCAAATTTTTATTTCCACACTCATATTTAATATTAATTTTGATAAATGATGTAAATTTGAAATTTGGAGGTGTTTGTTACATAAATTCTATACAATATAATAAGTAATAACTTATAAACGTGAGTACAATTTACAACACAGGTGATTAGAAGAGTTTGTAAATAAATTGTATGTTTATTATTTATTCCAACAATTATCTGAGATTCAGAATGAAACAAAGCAAAATATATTGGTACATAGAAGTCAAGAATCTTAATAGAGTAGAATAGGAGATTATAGACAGGTAATTATACACGGAGGAAGGAAAAGTAAGAAGCTGGAATCGGTGAAGGTAGGACAGTCAAACAGGATATGTAGGAGGTTCCATGGAGGTTCCTAAAGATGGAACTTGAACATGAGTTGTGAGAGAGTAAATAAGAACGGTAAGGAAGACAATTACAGCTAAGTCGTAAACGTGAGATGTATAATTCTCAATGTTGGGGGTAGGTAATGATTGGACATGTTATAATATGATGCCACTCATCAAGACCAATTTTACCTGTCAAGTATTTCAAATGATATAATATTATATTCCTATGTGTAAGAACTAAGAAAAATCATTGACTTAAAAAAAATGAATTGTTAATTAGACAGTTTAAATTTAAGCAGTTTTCTAACAGGAATATTTCAAAACAACTATAGCAAAATAAACAACCTATAGATTCGTTAGAGTTAAACCTATACATTCAATATTATAAAAAAATATCTCTTAGAAAATCTCAATTCACTATATAATACAAAAACATACAAAAACATCGCAATAGTAGGTTTGCCGATGATACCACAATAATCGCCAAGGACTTAGCCAGCGCCACCACTCTCGTGAACATAAAGGTAGCTAAGGACATATTCTCTACGTTCGGAATGCAGATAAACCCAACCAAATCCACGATCATAAACGTAGAAGACGGATAGCTAGTACCGAAGAATCGAAGACTCCTAGACAATTCAGTAATCCCTTCAGTTTGCAAGGCAACACCTACATAAAATATCTTATCATTTATACTCGTAACTAACAATTATTAATATTGTAATAATTTTATTTTATTTCGCAATTTATAGATCAAGTTGATTATTACCTTCATTTTATTTATATACGTCTATATTTTATTCTTTTCTATAACCTATGTTCAATTGTATTGAACGGTAAACTGTATCGTAAGGCAACTCATAAAATGAGCAATCCACTATATTTCTTTATTTATATTAATAGAGTTGTTTATATATATATATATATCTATGACTAAAAATATTATTCTACTCAAATAATTGACGTGCGTAGTATTAAATAAAATTAATGAACCAGTTTTTTTTTTTCAAAGTAAATATTAGAAGAAATGAGAAATGTAAAGGTAAGTATAAATCACCATGCGATTTTCAATAATTTATTCAACAAACTTATTTTACTTACCCGTTAAACCCACAGTGGTACAAACACTACAGACAGATCATGTCAAAAAGACTTAGTTTTTGAGTGATGATGATTACTTGTATGTATATCACCGATAAAGGTATTGATAATATACATAATACATGCCCGTGAAAATGTGAATATATAGAAGTTTAGATTTACATGCATTTCATTTATTATACCAATATTCTACCTCTACCAGCCCCACGAACATTTTAAAAACAAATTAAATCAATAAAAAGCAACGAATTAGCAAACATTTTAACAAAACTACAAGCCTAGGCTTATTTCCTTTTTCTATGAAAATTAGTAAAGATGTTGACTCTTGTATTATACATTTTTTTCAGTATTTAACAATAAATTAGCGAGCATATAGTGAGACTACACTACAGTACCACAGTAATCCACCAACTCCAATCTCGTATTTATTTATTTATTTGATAATTTTATTAATAAAATATAAATGCAAAAAAATAATATTTTTAATTTTTGTTAAACGTAATTTAATAAATAAATAATAATTTTTTTTTTAAGAACCATAGAACCTTACCCCTGCGTACTCCACTGAATAAGACACAGACATAATTAGGTGCTTACCATCTCTAGATTATTATAAATAAATTTCAAATCAAATCATAATTTGTATTTGATGGACAATTGAAACGTGTTCTATTATAATAAATTACATACAACAAATAACTATCAATTACAAATATCATTATTTATATAAAATGTTAATATATTTGCTAGATTTTCATTTTTTATACACGAATATACTTTAGCTCGATTTTACATAGGCTATATTTTCTAAACATCCATCTAAAGTTTCAGCTCGATTGACGCCCAAAATTATATTTAAAGATGAAGTAGGCGATTTTGGTGATAATGTAAATACTTTTACCCTTCGACTGGAAACTTTATGTAAATCAAATGACTTTTTTTTCTGTGGAACGTCCGTAGATTCTCTTTTTATAAAAGTCCCTTTGGGTATCATATCGTTTTTGAGATAGGTGAGCTCAGAGTTTTATTGCTTATAGTCTTTATTTTATTTTTTATGCGAATCCAATCACTACTGGAATACTTAACTAGAAACAAACGTGTAGATTCGTTCAAAAGCTACAAGTACCATTTTCAGCAAAAATAAAAAAACTACTATAAGAAAATATAATTTTTTTAATAATAATATAGAAATTATCTATATACTAATTCCTCCAAGAATATTAGGTTTATAACCCTCTAAATTCTATAACAAAATAAATTTAAAGAATAAACTTAAATATAATAAATTTAGTACAAATAAATTGTATCAAATAATGATGAATAACATAATATTTTATAATTGGTCAATTTAGATTTTAACTTTATAAATGCTTGAATTTTCATATTACCTAAGTATGTTTAATATTGTAAATTGACAATAATACTTAGTTGCTACCAGAGAGGTTACCTACAATTAGTGTAAGACTGTCATTCTGTTAAACTCAAATAAGTCTTTAGCATAAATAACACCTAATAGTAATTGTCTGTTTTTTTTTTTTATTTTTTTTTATATATATAACGAGTCCACAAAACAGTAAATTAATATGATACAAACAGTTAGTTTTAAATTTTAGTCTTTACAATAAATTATACCTACTGTTTTCAAATTATTGATATCTTTTTTAGTGCTATTAGTTATTACTCACTAAAATATTTTAGCATTGGTGTAATAAAAGATTAATCAGAACAAAAATAAGTAAATAGGTATAAAACTGGCATTGAATTTTTTAAGAAACCACAACGGCAATATTATTTATTATTTAAAAAATATATATACTGTGCAGATAACGGTTGAACTAAGTAGTTACTAAAGTAAAGTTGGATATGGGGAATGAAGTATCCGTAGGAAGAATTAAGAGACAGAAAGATATTTCTTCAAAGAGAGAGGGAAGAGCAATCAAAGAGGATTATATACTCTCATTTTTTTTTCATAGCATTATACATTTTCGTATTATACTAAAAACATAAATGAGCTTTTTAATAACTTTCAAATTACGATCACTCAGTCTTGATAAATATTTACTCAGCATAGTATTTATAATTCTTTAAAATTTGCTTGCATCTGTTAACACTACGTATTATTTATCTTATTATTTCGTGGTTTGCGAATACACAATTAGGTACCAACTATAATCTTTAAAATATAATTCGATATACACAACATATTATATCAAATTAATTTAATGAAATTAATTAATATAAAACCAATAAATAGTCTAAAAGTCTAAAACATTAAGGAATTTTAATTTAAATCAAGATTTCTGTTATATAATGTATATTATCATAAACACAGTTGTTTTCATAATTTACTTAATCTGATTTATTAATCCACTGAACCAACAATCATAATATTATTATAGTTGTGGACTACTGGGGACCATTTTAACGTATTGAACATGATGGGACACCTTAAGCATATTTATAGATGTAAATTCGTATTAAAAGGAACTTAATGTTGATCATGAAACAGTTTAGAATTTAGGGGTTTCAGAATATTACAAGGTCTTACTTGGGAAAATGTAATCAAAAATGGTAATGACCATCTTAATTACATAATTATATTTTGAGAGATTTATCAAGCTACTGTTTAGAAATAGAGTTATTTTCGAATAGCCTAGTGATACTTAATGTAATGTCATAAATCATAATAATACATTTTATACATATCTACATAAATTACTATTCAGGAAAACAATCTTAACCTTCTTTTAAGATAACGGTAATTATTTCTAAACCATCTTTCAATGAACATCTTTATGAAATATTTTATCTACTTTAACTGGCAGTAAAATGTATTTATTTATTTATGTTTTTAAAGTTATGAAAGCAAATTTTCTGTCAATCTCATATTAAATAAATCTAACTCAATAGTTAATAAGTACCAATGTCTTTCTAAAATTAGTATATCTATTTTAAATAGTCATTGATAAATAAGTTGTCTTTGTAATTCAAACGTATTTTAATTAAAAAGCTTAAAGCACAAATTCAACTGCTTAAAATAATTAGTAACTAATTTATAATAATATAGAAGTATTAGAATTCGAAGACTATATAATTAGTGTTTTGTTATATTTAACTGTTAAATTTATGATCGCATTGTATGGTGTGCGCCTTGAAATTTTAATATAATCTATTCTTAGTAGTGTTGGTACTTTAGTCTTTAGACATGTAGTAATAAAATGTATTATGAATTTAAAATAAACAGTTGTATGTTTTAAATCGAATTTACCTAATTATTATTTTAAATGCAAAAGTAAATGAAACTTGTTGTATTGACATATTATTATCAGAATAAAAAAATATTCTAAGGAGAGAGCCCAATTAAAAGTATTTTTTTAAAGAATACTGAAACCTCTTAAAATTCGTTCAACGGTTTTCGTAAAGAAATCACATAGGTATAGAGTACAGACAATCTAAAAATTACTTCTTACTCCAAAAGTAGCACTTGACTCAATTTACAATTTTTGGTTTGTATGAAACTTTTAAATCTATTTTCTTAGCCCAAAAGGAATTCACAGAAAAACAAAAAGAATACATTAATATTGTAAAAACAATACATTCCTTGCTTTGCTTAAAATATAAAATAAAACTTTTATTTAAAAATATCGTCTGACGTTTTTCAGAACGCAGTAAAAGTTTATTACCTCAACGTGTTGTTCACCAATATTAATGTATTCCTCATTTATTAATTATTAGCTAAAAAAATAAATTAAGTAATTTATTCTTTTTTATTGTAATAAATAAACCATAAAATGAAATTACTTTAAATGGTTTTTCTCTTTTTAGACTAGTTATAAAAAAACCTTTATATAATATATATATATTATAAAATGGTTATGCACTTCTGTGATTGCAAAATTCGTTTTGTAAAATATTGTTAAAGGTATTCGGCATAAAAAATAACACAAAGTAAAAAAAAACTAGTGTGCCATTAAAGGCAACAATAGTTTGTAATGAAGACTTATAAATCTTATTTAATTGAATTTCGTGTAACCCACTAAATCGTCTTTAAATGTAGGCTTTTGCGGACAATAAGATTGTGTATTTATTACCAACAAAAATAAAGAGACAAAAGTATTTTAGGTATACCTAACAGTAATATTATTGCTATTTTTTTTTTTCACTAATTGTATTATGATTGGTAGTTTAGTTAAGTTGTTATAGACTTCACACCTAACTATAGATTAAATAGGTAAAATAGGAAAATAAGAAGAAAATTAGGTTAGTTATATTGTAATAGACAATAATAGTTATTCAAATAATATTTTTGAAAAATAACTGCACCATGAGGGGGTTTCTGGCTTCTGCTTATATTGAGAACATAATTATTTCAAGATACCAACCACAAAATGTTATATACGGTACCTGAGTCATAATTTTTTGAGTTACATAAAGGTATATAGTAGTTTTTCAGTGAAAATCTAACATTTTAAGAACTGTTTTTCGTTGTTTGGATATTTCGTGAATATTATACCATTATTATGCGTCCATAACTTCACACATATTCATAACGTTCACTGTTTACAATCATTGTTATCGTTTGTACTTTGTTTTTGCCAAGTACAGTATATTATATTATACTCTGTAATACTGTGTCATGAATGAGAACATATTCAAATCGTACTGTTTTGTTTACACTTCGTTTACTCTTTTATTGACTGTCAGTTGAAACGAACATTTAATAATATGTTTTTATATATATATAAACCATTTCATATTATGTTTGAGGGACAAAGTAAAGAATGGTGTTTCTCATGTATGACGTTTTAGCCTTTTATTTTTTCTAGTCTGGTGATTTTTCCTGAGTATAACGTTTATAGTGTTATTATTTTATTTCTGGATTAGTACCTCTTAAACATATTTTAAAAATTATTTTAAACTTGTAGGATCATCTGACTTCTGATCATACATCGAGTTCCATCATGAAAGTCTAAATTATGGTATCTAATTTATGTTTGTATTCCTTAATTCGTGAAATACACTAGAATATACTAAATTTTTATGAAATGGAGAAAACAATAATATTTATCAAATAAATTACTTTTTTTTTATTAAAACTTTCTGGAGAAGTGATTTAAACGTAAAAGATAAAACGTGTATAAAATGGTATGCTAACTTTCTAAGTACCTCACTACATTTTAAACATTTTAAATGTAAAATGCAATAATTAGTTTTAATGTTTTTGATATTTTATAAAGTATTGAATTCCATGAAATATTGATTTCCAATCATTCAACTGTATTTCAAAGTTATTTATTCTATATATCTCAGTAAATTTAATTTATTTACGCACCGTTTCTTTATATAACACTCTCAAAGTCTCAAATACAAAATAAACACTCTAAGTAGTTGGTAAACTGAACTCCTTTTAGTATCGACTTTCAATCACGACATAGTCTCTTATAAATTTAGTAAATACTAGAGCTCGCTGTAGACTATCCATAATATTATTGTAGTGATCTAGCGCTGTAGTATGAAATATGTAGGTACGCACATGTATTGTCACATTACAAATATATAAGTAGTATAACATAATGATTTGGATACTTGCACAACATGACGTGAACACGTAACATATTAGTTCTAAAACTGACGGAAAAGTTAACTATACATATCTAAATATAAGCAGATGCACATATGCGTATGTCATCATTTAATAAAATTAATTAATTATGCATAATTCACAGGACATGTAAATATGTAATGTACTTAACCAAATTGTCTAGGAAAAAGTGCCCTCATTGTTGATCTAAAATAATATTTCTATAACTCCAGAATTTAGGTATTTTTATACTTTTAATATACAGACTGTAGAAAATTATAATATGATTAAATTAATGAAACCATTAATATGCAACCTATTATTTATGATTTATTTTCAAACGATCATAAAAAAGAAAAATAAGTATGTATTATATTACATATTATATTCATATCGAAATAATTTGAAGAAATTATTATTATTATTTAACAACAAGAACGACTGAAGCATTATATTTTTTTCGTAACAGTTATACCTACTATCACTTTTAATATTTTAAAACATTATTAAAATAATAACGAATAGTAAAATAATGGTTGAACATTAAAGTAATAATATACTGTTGGAAGGCACAACAATAGCCAACCCATGGCACACTTATTTCTTTAAACATTGCTTACTCAAATGATGCAAAATTAAAATGGATTTGATTCAACCGACTGTTATGATGCTTACTGAACCAAAAATTTTCAAACGTAAAAATATTTCAAGAGCTTTAATTTGTATAAAACTAGCACTCAATACACTGGAATTAAATTTAAGGGATTTTAGTTTTACATGAAAATATATGTAAATTTTAATATTTATGTGATTTGTGTAGTATGTATGTAAAATAGTACCAAATACTCTTTCAACAATGATTATTCCCATAGTGATTAACAAACACCGTTAAATCGATGAAAAAACTAAGCTTGGAAATAAACAGACTTCAAGACCTCTTCACATAAATAAACTTATTTTAAAAAAAAATAATATATTTAAAATGTAATACAAAGTATATCCATAAAAATGTTTCATTTATAAATCGTCCTCTTGAAATCAATAAACGCACCTGATGTTTATATTTTTATAGATTAGTTTTGAAAATACGTAAGACAATATTATTATTGTTCTGGGGGACATGTAACATTTATATTCTTGACATTTTACATACTGACAATCATTCCAAATAATTCAGGCTATAATTCATATTTTTGACGCTGGGTGTTCCATAGCATTGTATAACAGACCTTGCATGAAATATTTTTAAATTGTATAAATGGAAACTGCGAAGATAAAGACTACCTATATAATAATATGTTATGGATGAAGAAAATAAACTTATAATAAAATCTTTAATATTTCAATTTTAATAACATTTTAGGTCGTAAAAACCTACTCCAAAAAGTTCACGTAGGTAATAAAAAATTTAATTTTCATACATATTGTACAATTAATAATTTAAAATGTTCAGTAATAGTAGAACTTAGTATATTTGTATATAATTAATCATTATGTAGGTCATTATATTTTGATAGATAATTTGAAAATACTAATCAGGGCCGGATTGGTATGTATAGGCCCATCGAGATTTTCACTTCTAAGCAGCCTATTTACAAATATTACGTAATATAATTATTATGAGCTTATAGGTGGCCAATCGTATTTTATACATGAATTTATTTTCACTTACACTCACACAACCGGCTCAAGCTTTAGACAGCCCACGGAGATTTTCTCGATAGCTCACCTAACCAATCAGGCCCTGATAATAATACATAATAACAAAAAAAATTATTTGTAAAATATAGAATGTTAAGTAAATAATACAATTTGATAAATGGCAATAACAGTAAAATCATGATCATGTGTATTCTATTATTTAAAATATAAAATGTACGAAGTATGATTGGTAGATATCGATAAATAGTCATTTTAATAATAAGCATTTACAGTTCGTTTATTTAATATATTATACTGCAGGTAATCCTAAATTAAAAGATTCTGGAATTGAAGTATTCAAATAAGCTTATTAAGTCAACAAGAATTAAAGAAAACATAGAAGATGATGGACTTCACCTTAAGGTACCTCTACATTTTTATATCTTGGTCTGTTCTTGAAAGGTTCGACCACGGGTAAAGATCGATGGGATCCAGTATTGAACACTCTTTTTACACCCCCGTCTATCATCGTTACTGTCTGTTCGTTGTTTTCGTGCATTGGATATAGATTTATCAACTATACTGAAGTCCTCTGACACGACACATGATTCAGCGGAAAATTAAGCGACTCTTTGTATGCAAGACAAATACTGACGCAAATGGTATGAAAAAAAAATTGTTTGGAACTTGAAAGTATCAACAATAGATTGCAATAAAATATTTGATAGACATACCAAAAGACGAATATCGAATAATATGTTCATACAGATTTGGTATTTATGAAACCATTTTTGCTACACAATTTATCATATTTAAATACGAAAATAACATACATTTTAAATTTTAATTGTGAAACGAGAGATTTGTTTTACAATGACAAATTGTATTCACATTGTTTATAATAATATGTAATACTACTATTCCAGGGATGGCCTACCCAAATGATCTTGCGGGGGGCCACTTTCTAAGTACATTACAATCCTGCGGGCCACATATAAGGTTGCCAAAAAAAGGTCAGCAGCCAGTAAAACATTATAATATAATCACATATTTTATTATTCAAAATTATAAAAATATTTTTCCCCAATACAAAAAAAATTGAGTAAACATTATAAACAATATTAATTATTAGGTATTGTTTTTACTATGACTCATAATTTATTAACATAGATAATATTATATTATATTATATTACATATAATAGTTTTAATTTATTGATTTTACCATTTAGTGAGATATTTGTTTCTCACCTCGTTCACTAAGCTTTTTAAATCAACAGAAATGCTTGTATTTGCACACCGTAATTGATGTTGCAGGTTTTCATCTATTAGGTTTGAGCGTGATTTGTCTTTGGTGAATTTTATTTTCGTAAAAAACTATTCACACGTGTAAGTCGATCCAAAAGCACTCACAACTTTTTGTGCCCGATTTCTCAAATTGGGAAATTTTTCTTTTGTGATATTAATATTATATAAATCTATTTTTGATTTTGATATTTCAAAAATGTGTTTTGATTCATTATTGCATTGTAAGTCAATGAATTCCATTTGAAGATATTCTAGGGCCAAATTGACATAAGTATTCAAAGGAGATGAATATATTTCAAATATTGTCTTGTATTTGTCTAAATTAGTGAAACGACTTTCAAAAGCAGCTATAAGTTTCCTTATTTCTTGAGCATATTTAATGCTATCGATATGTTTTGAATATTCTATCGGCGCAAAAATGATTTTTTTTTTTGTAAATATTTGATAAATAACGCGGGCCGCAAAACTTTTCAAGGCGGGCCGCGGGTTGGCCATCCCTGTACTATTCATTTTAAAGTAAAATAGTGAAAATCGAATCCATTTTGTACCTACATTAAAGAAGCCATATTTTATTGATTAATAAATTCATAAGAAAAAGCTTAGTTGCATCAAAACATTTCGTATAAGTTTCTAGCTCAGCTCTAAGTCATTTTTTTTAATGTAAGGATTTCTATAAAAATATACTTAAGTTAAGTACATCGCATACTATGTTTAAACTATAAAAACCAAAGGAATAACTATATTTGATATGTAATAGGTGGGAATATAACTCGTAATTTCCAAGCTTTTTTACTCACAAACAAAAATTCTATCATACATACCTAATTTGAAAAAAAACTAATAAAGAGTCGAACATTTCAAATGTTTATAAATAACAAAAAAATTCCATAATATTTTAATATTATATAATTTTTAGAAAATTCAAATATAAATATTTGGTAAAAATGTTAAGACTATTTACATGTGAACAATTCACATACACAAAATAACAAAAATTTACAAGCTTTTATAAAACCAGTGTTTCGTAAACATTCATCCCAAATCATTTTAAAAAAAAACTTTTGTCCAATTTTAATTTTTTGTCCACCAAAATACAAATAAGATCAAATTTTCTACCAGAAACGATCCTTAGTATTGAAACTCCAAGCACAGAAAAAATAAGAGGTATATACACACATTATTGTAAAACTAATGCAATTATCGCTAAACTCAAAATATTTAAAATAAATAATTGTAATTTGTGTTAATTTTTAATTTTAGCGATAAATTATAAAACTAAATAATCGCACTGTTATGTTTAGGTACTTTTTTATTTTTAATAATGACATTTATTTAAGTCTGATATAATACGAACCATCAAACGTTTTGTCTTTTTTTAAGCACACAAATAATAAACACAATACTCTACTGTATAGGCTTATCTATTATTTAGATTGGAGACAAATAAAATAACAAAATGTTTAAATAAAAACCACTATACATATAATATATGATTTACGGAATATTTAATTTTTGTTTGGAGACAAAATACTATCCAATTCAAGTGAAATCAAAACATTTCAATCAATTTACTTAATATTTATAACAGTGCCTTGATCATCACAAAATATTCCTCATTAACTAATTAATCATAAAAATCATCTTATCTTAAAACAAGCCGTCAATAGTATCGTCAAAACTGTTGCGAAGTGAACCTATGAAAAAACCCCGTGGCGGCAGGGAGTAAACTGGTGAGATCTCCTACAAGAACTCATGGCGGTCAAGCCGTCAAATAGGTATAATAACCCTAAACACACCCAGGAGACTATAGAAGAATTCAATCAGGGATAGTTGACAAATTAAAAATGTATTTTTATTGAATAATTTTGGATAAACTACAGTACTTACACATAACTTTCCATCTATACTAAATTGGTTATAATTATATAATATATAAAAATCATAAATACTTAAATTACTACATTTACAGCATATAATAACTAATTAGTTTCTGTTTATTAAACGAAAAAAATATATGTGAACTTTTCTACTAAAATTAAGAAAAATAACATAAGGAAAATTGACTATAATCTACAGGGTGTCCCGTGAGGATTTACTCATTAGCCGTAGAGGGGGACTCGCCGCCCGGACAAAAACCAGTTTAATGACGTTTTACTAATAAACTAAAAAAATTATTAAAAATCATGAGACTAATGAAAATAAAATGTTAAAAGCTAAAAATGTTCACAAAAATATACTCTATAGAATGGCTATCTTCAATTTTTTCAAAAATTAAAAATTAAAAAATAATTTTTATAACTTTTTTACTTAAAAATTTAATTTAATTAAAAAATAAAATATTTGTAGTGCTTACCTCTGAGAGTCTTAATAAAAAAACATAATTACGATATCTCCATTATTTCAGGAGATATCGCAATGAGTAAATCCTCTCGGGACACCCTGTATAGTTTTAGAACATTTTTATGTATATTTATAAAATTGAATATATGTGCCTAATAAAATGGAAAATATTTAATTATATTTCAATATTACATAGTTAATTATAATTATATTATAACTTAAATCTATTTCTATTAATATAGCTGATTAATATAAAATATAATATTATCATCTGTCATAGGTACTTGTAAAATCATATACGTTTTGTATTATTAATTAATTGGATTTTCGTTTCTGATCGATGACATATTTAACAAGTTCCTTATAATTTCGCTCAGATGACTTATTCAATGCATAAATAATTATTTATTATTATACAATTCAGAGCTTTAAATAGTACTAATTTATATGTAAATTAGTACAAACATTTTTTAACCATCTTATCTATGAATTTTGAATACAATTTTTATATAAGCTTCTCATAATACATGTTGCAAAGTTATTTGTTATTTTGGAGATGTCGTGGTCATAAAATACGGTGATGTTATGTTAAAAAGTAATGTTATTAGATTTTGGTAAAAAAAAAATGAAATGAACAGAAATAAAGTAGAATATATAAGCAACGAGAAACGTAAAAAAAAATTGAAAAATTAATGTAATATGCGTTCAAAATATCGTGGAAATGTCGTTTCAGATCAGTAACACCCATCGTAGTTTGAAAAATGATGATTTCCTCATTCGAAAGGCCTAAAAAAAAGAAAAAGAAACACGCTCGTTTGACACCTTAAAAGCAAATAAAGCGAGGTCCCAAACTAGAATTCTGTCAAACCATGTCTCGAAAAGAGTTAAAAATATTATCTGCATAGGTACATTTTAAAACAAAAATACCTTCTTGACCAGAGATGAATTTAAATATTATGTGCTTGGAATAATTTAGTGTTCAAAATTATAATATTCTGGTTGAATATGTAGGTACAAGGTATATAGTAGCTATATTGATTTATTGTTACTTCAATATATTGATAAACCCAGTAATTTTAAGACAGTTTAAATTGATAATAACGAATAAATGATCAATAGTTTATAATTTCAATGCCTTTTAAATATCTAATGAACTTAAAAATTAAAATATTATTATCACCACGAATAACCCCATAATATTTATAATGTTTTTAAATAACATCAAACAATTATTATTAAGCAAGTAGTTAAAATAAAATGTTAGGATCATATTGTGTAAGATATTTTAATCAGATACTTGATATTATCTCCAGCATTTAATATTTTATTTTAAAAAAGTGGTCAACACATATGGACAATACAAAACAAAATGCATGGTATGTATACTATATAATATTGTATAATATATTATGAATAGTATACACGATATACCAAACGCCTTTATTTTTAGTAGGTATAGTATATACCGTATATATACATTTTTTACGAAATATACCTATTTGAATAAGATTTATTCTGTTCTCGTAAATTCATATAAATTATATTCATATGCAATTTACATTTAAAGCAGCACATTACCTACTTCATAAATATAGGAGTATTCGAAATGTCAAAATCTTTTAATTTAAAATAGGTATTAGGTACTGTCAAAAGCTACCCTGCTTAGTTTTTTTCATTTAATGATAGTGTGATTTTTTTTCTAAGCAATTAGCATTAGTTAATAATATTTTATTATATTGTTACCTAATTTGTTTGTTTTATAAAATTATTTGCTTTATTGTTTTCTTTCATTTTATATTACCATCGTTAATAATGGTTACGGTTTGTGCTTAAAAGGATCCGCTACGACAATCACGTTCTGTATCAAAGACGGTAGTGAGAAAATGTAATATTATACACATTTAATATACATTTATGTGTATAATATATATATATTTATATACAATTAATATATTATACTGGTAACCCTTTGAAGCTTTTTCGTAGTGTCTATAATGTCCCTACTTGAAAACTATATAATTATTACTGAGAGGATTACAAAATAAAACCTTTACCTTCTCTTAATTTAAAACATTTAACTTTGTAAAGAACTGATAAATGATAATAATTATAATAAAACAATATTTATAAAAATGGCAAATGACCGGTAAAATGTATTTTATAGAACTAAACGTGTTCATTTATAATATATATTGTGATTTATTAAGAATCCGTAAAGAACAGATATTAATCGGTAGTAGTAGCTAGTTTTAATTATTCCTAATTGGTTTTTATTGTATTCGAGTTTTTGGTTAAATATTATTGAGAACATGGGAATTATATGATTTTCTATGATTCTCAATTATTAATATATTTTATTCTGTGTCTTTACTAGTTATTATACAGGTATCTGAATACCTACATCCTACTTATAAGCCTTTAATAAATGAGAAGATAATTTAACACAAAAATGTGATAATGTTTTAAAATAGAGCAATATTGTTAAGTGATGATTTGTTTTGTTTTTGATTCAATATTTTATCTATTACTTTATTTAAAAAAAATGATAGATAAATAACTAATACTATGTTGGCCGGTAATCTTTTTTTTTTATCTAAATTAATATTCAATTAAAAATGTAGATGGGGATATTAAAACGTCTAAGCTATTATAGAATCATTAACTCGTATAATAAAAAATATCATTCACAGTTACCACCAACATATTATTATTTTTATTTAATAAATAAGTTCAGTTTGATACGTTTTAGAAATAATTATACGTACCTACCTAAAGTATACTTAACAGAATTATGCTGTCTGCAGAATGTAAGATATACAATATACATAGTATTGTGTTGGTTCTCATTTTAGTTCATTCATCAAAACTCTTATTTCTTGAAAGTAAATTTAAAGAAAGGTCTTATAACTTCCCCCATTCTCAGTTTACGTGTTCTACCTCCCAACGCCTTAATACCAGTCGTACACACTTAGAAAATATCAATAGGTACTTAATATGTCCATCAAGTTAGCCCTCTGACTTAGTCCAATTGATATAAAAAATATTTTTCAAACTAATTACAAATTGGTTTTTAGTATTAGCAAATAAGTCATTAAAATAATGTTATAAATTGAAAACCATTCCGAAGTGCCAACTTCGCGTAACACTCCAAATTTGTCTGATACATTCAA